AGCCTAAGATCGACAAATAAATTCATGTCTCTAAGTGGCTAGCAGTACCTTGAATGCTTCAAGTCCGTCGGTTGACAATGAATACATGCGAATAAATCATCTGTGATGACTCGCTTCCGTTGAGTACGCTGGTTATGCCATGTATCTATATCACGCATAGCGACTAGTCCAATTTGGAATCTGCAATTGTGTTTTTTATTTTACGATCATTTTATATTGTTGAACTATTTGCGGTTACGTCGTGTGCTGAAAAAGTACGTAAAATTATTTTGTCTCGAAACAGGTATGTACATATATATATATACGGTATTTGTCACTAACCTGGCTAGTGCACATTTTTTATAGAATAATGATGACAAACGGTATACAGTTCATCTACTCTGGCAACACAGCAGCATTAACCCGCTATTTTACGCTGGTTTTCTGCGAGAGCGTGGATCTTTCCCGATCGAGCCAACCTAATCGCGCTACAACCATAATATTATGTTTTTAGTACAAATGGGTTTTTTAAAGCGGCATTGTGGCTTTACCACGTATTCAATTTTTCTTATAGTCAAACGACGACACATTCAACTTGATGGTAAATGAATGACATGAACAATGTACATTTACATCTATACTCAGTTGATGATCCAAATTAATATTCATTACTAACCCTGAGAAATAAGATATAATGCCTCATTGTCAGCAAAACGAGTTTCAGTTCTTATCACTTTGATATTTAATTTCAAGACATTTTCGTAAGAACATAAACGTAATTCAATTGTAGTTAGTGCAGTATTGTAGTTAGTACAATAATCTACAACTTTCACGCACTAAAGTATCAGAACTTATTCTGAAGGAAGGTTTCAAGCCGTGTTTTGGGTGTGCACTTAGCTTCACATCTTGTTTGGTAATTCGCGATAGTTTTAGCGGGAGATTTCAATTTTGGTATCAATCAATTTTGTATTTGAATGTATAAATTGGGGTCGTTTAAATGGGGGTCGGGGGACAACGTCTGTTTTATGATCTCTGACAGAGGCATTGTTGATACACTTTTTGATAGTGCGACACAAGAAAATAAGTGCTTACATAGCTATAATTAAAATACTTTGTACAAAACGATCATTGCAGTAATGTTTTATTTGACGCCCCGCTTCATAACTTAATTTTAAATTACGTTAAAAATAATATAAACATCATATAAACCAGCATGAGCGGGTATTTCAAGTAATAAATACAATGTAGTTTATGTAACTCTATTTTACAGTGACGCAGTAAAGATAATAATTTTGAAATTAAAACTTAATACAAAAAGAATCGTAATGCACCTATTTTATAGTTAAAAAATGTCCTCCAGACCGAATTTCGGCCACGGCGGTCTGCCCCAACGGAGGCTAGCCATCGGCACAGGACAGGATTATAGTGCCCAAATGGTTGCGCAAGCACAGGTGCACTCTCTATTCCCTCACTCTCATAATCCGATGGGACGGTAAAACGACACGACCGGAGAGAGATTAGTCGCAGGACCAACGGCTTTACGTGCTTTCCGAGGCACGGGGGTGAGACACCGCCAAATTCCTGACTCCGGGTAACTACTGAGAATTTCTTGACGGAAAAACTCAATAATTGATTTTTCGGCCCGACCCGGAATTAGAACCCAGGACCTCACGATCAGCAGTCGCACTACTACAACCACTAGACCAACGAGGCAGTCGTATTTTATAAGACGTAATCGTAATATGACATAATAAAGTATTTCAATATCAGATTACTATATTTGTACCTGCCTCAAATTAAATTATGTGTCTCATTATAATTTTAATAGATGATGCTCAGGAAATATTTGACACAAGTACCCGGCCACGCTTGTTGATAATCAGTCTAGAAGAAAAATTGTTTATGTTTTATTTAAATCTAATAGATGACACTGCTTTTTCAAAAATATTCCTATAGGAATGCAATGTTTTTGTCAAAATTTCAAAGCAATCGTTAAAGAATTTTATAAAATTTAAGAATGTGAACAAACCGACATTTACATTTTTATTAATATACATTGTTTAAGAAATATTTACATGATTTGTATAATAAGCAATACACTCATTGACATGTTAAAAGCATTTGTACGACAGACGGAAACTCGGCATCTACTAAAATTAATAAAAAAGTGTGGTTATCAAACTACCCGTCAAGCGTAGAAACTAAAGTAAAATCCCCCCCCTCCCCCCGGCCCAGAAGAGGCAGTAGTGGATTTCTGTTGTAGTGGATGAATGGTTACGGTGTTTTACGAAAATAAACAATATTATTATTTATAATATTTTTATTCAAGGATACTAACCGTACTAAAATAGCCACTAAGATAATGTGATGAGGTGGTTTGGTGATTTTTTGATTGACCTATACGGCTAGCACATTACTTACTACTTTTACTTATTGATTCATTGGGCTATGTTATTTACTCTATCTTGCTCTGCGGATATCTTCGTTACGGATTTTATCACAAAATTGCAGGAAAAACCTCTTACGCAGCTTGTGCTCTTAATCAAGTGTGTACAAAATTCATAATGTGCATTACAATAAATTTAGAGTGTTCTCCCATAAACAATATATAATGTGTGTTCACGAACCTTTGATTGTTAATAAATTTATTTGCTTTGAAGGTGAACGCGTTTTGGGTTCGCTGATTTCATTTTATAAGGTAGAATCTTTCGTTCCTGCTGCGTGACCTTAAATTCAAGTATAGTGTTTATACATAGTATAAATGCTCTATAAGTGTTAACTTTATTTTCAATGAAAGTGCCTTGACTTTTATTATTTTATTTATTTTTCGAGGCATTTCAACGATGCATTGACAAATCACGGTAGTTTTGTTAATTTATTCACTTTACAGATATAAGTATGCGAATAGTATTACGTTAACGTCATTTATTTACGTATCAATAGTAGATTTTGTTATTGTTTAATATAATTTATCCTGTTATAATATGAATGATAACAATGAAGTCACGAAATACTCAAGGATGTGTGGGCTCGAGTATTAAAGATTATAAAATTTAAAACAGAGCACTATGTTCATTTACAAGCGAAAAGTTATGTATCTGATCATAGAGCTGAGATACGTTTTATACAATAAAATTGTAATTAGAATTTTAATTGCTATGTTTTAATTATAATATATTATGTATATTATACAATTAACACAGATATAATAGAATTTATTTATTTCACATGGCACAAAAAATTAAAGTGTGCATTAAATTAATATTTGGCTAGAGACAAGAGTCCCTTAACTTAAAAAAACGAATACTAAATGAAAAATATTAATATAATTTTACAAATAACCGTAATATATTATGACTACTATAGATTTTAGAATAGTTTTGTTATCCTTAAAACATTATTAATCAAGTAATCAAGCAAAAGAAAAAAACCTTCAATAAAATGTATAAAAATTCAAAAATTTACAAGACCCCATGATTAAAATGTGTAACATAAAATACTTCGCATCTCTTACAAGTCAATCAAGTTCATCTGAAAATGGACTTCGAGGCTCTTCATCACCATATTGATTAAAAACGGTAAAAAAGTCTGTTAGAGCAGCAAAATAAGTTGACAATTTCCTTAGCTCTTAATATGAATAAATGTAATGTTTCTGTATTTTGTTTATCTAGTTTGTGCGTACGCACAAACTAAACCAAATGAAACAGCTTACCAAGACAACGGATTTTTTCCGGTTTTTATTACAATATGTGAGTGACATAACATGAATCTTTTTCATGAATCTACGGATTACTAAAATGCGAAAATTTTATGTACGTTTAATCATAAAATTTTGATTTAATAAATTTGAGAAACTTTGCTTTTTCCATAAAAATATATAATGTGACAACTTTTCGAATCTTGATCATAATAATTATTATTTTTTTTAGTGTTGTTTTAAGTAAATCTAATCCTCCAAGAGACTAATCACACTTTAATTTAAGTATAGCGTAATGAAATAGTATAAATTCTAGTATAGTGTTTATACATATTATAATGTTTAATGTTAACTTTATTTTCAATTAAAGTTCTTTGACTTTTATTATTTTATTTATTTTTCGAGGCATTTCAACGATGCATTGAAAAAAAAACTTTCTTGTTAATTTATTCACTTTACAGATATAAGTATGCGAATAGTATTACGTTAACGTCATTTATTTACGTATCAATAGTAGATTTTGTTATTGTTTAATATAATTTATCCTGATTATAATATGAATGATAACAAATGAACGAAATACTCAAGGATGTGTGGGCTCGAGTATTAAAGATTATAAAATTTAAAACAGAGCACTATGTTCATTTACAAGCGAAAAGTTATGTATCTGATCATAGAGCTGAGATACGTTTTAAACAATAAAATTGTAATTAGAATTTTAATTGCTATGTTTTAATTATAATAACAATTAACACAGATATAATAGAATTTATTTATTTCACATGGCACAAAAAATTAAAGTGTGCATTAAATTAATATTTGGCTAGAGACAAGAGTCCCTTAACTTAAAAAAACGAATACTAAATGAAAAATATTAATATAATTTTACAAATAACCGTAATATATTATGACTACTATAGATTTTAGAATAGTTTTGTTATCCTTAAAACATTATTAATCAAGTAATCAAGCAAAAGAAAAAAATCTTCAATAAAATGTATAAAAAATTCAAAAATTTACAAGACCCCATGATTAAAATGTGTAACATAAAATACTTCGCATCTCTTACAAGTCAATCAAGTTCATCTGAAAATGGACTTCGAGGCTCTTCATCACCATATTGATTAAAACCGGTAAAAAGTCCGTTAGAGCAGCAAAATAAGTTGACAATTTCCTTAGCTCTTAATATGAATAAATGTAATGTTTCTGTATTTTGTTTATCTAGTTTGTGCGTACGCACCTCTGTACTGTTCAGTTCTCATCTAGACAGTCTGTTCATTTAAATGCCTATGGGAAGCAATCTAAACATTTCCATTTGTTTTAGTTATGGCTCACGTTTGGCGCATCTCTGGCCTTTCTAATCATCGGCTTGGTGAGGGGTTACTCTGCGTCCGCTATACCATCAATTGAGAGTAACGATCCCTCGCTTATCCAGCTCAGCGAACAGAAGTCATGGATAGGTAGGAATCTTAAATATTTAAAATTCATTATATTTGGAATAAAATATTCATAATTGCAGATTAAACAATCGAGATGATTAAAGTGTAGAGTTAAAACTATTCATTCCAAGACAATCATTAATACAGTTTGCAAGAGTTGCTATAATTGAAATACTTGGTAGACGCAATAGTAATGATAAGAACAAATGTTTCTCATCTTTGTATTTTCCTAATACTGAGTAGATTTTAAGGACAAATAATTTTCATCATCATAATCGTTACAGCCTTTTAAAGGTCTTAATTTATATGTCTGAACATGGGCAACAAGGAATGACACAAAGCAGTACCTAGTAATACCAACCTACCATGATGGACTCCAATACAAAAAGAAATCTACCACCTAGTACGAATAAAATTAACGTGCTTAATATTTTATGAAGGTAAAATGTAGTACATTTATTACAGGAGCAATACCACCGTTGGGTGCATTCGTTGGAAGCATGCTGGCAGGACCCCTGATGCAGAGAGCAGGTCGCAAGCGAACACTGCAATTGGCTGCACCACTATGGGGGGGAGGCTGGTTATTGTTGGGGTTCGCACCTAATTTTGCTCTCATTCTCGTAGGCAGAATTTTGTCAGGTCTCTGCGTTGGCTTCGTTTTAGCTCCAGCACAAGTTTATGTAAGTAAAATATCTTTTTTTTTCATCAACATGTAAAATTCAGTGGTACATGACCACTCTCTCTGACGACGCTCTCCCCAAAACTTTGAATGAACTAACTTTTCATCACACAGCTTTGGTTAAAGAAAATATTTTATCAGAACTATATTTTTAGCTAATTAAATTGAAAAAAAAAATAATTGTCAGTTATGTTTCTTTACTGCTGTTTTTTAATTAAAATAAATTTCATCAGGTTTCCAAAATTTTTTTAATTATATGTTTTCCATGTTATTTTAATTTAGAATTTTTCTCGTATATGTCACAGGCTTACGATAAAACTGGTTTTTAATGAAAAACTTAGGCTTTTGATCAAGAATCGGAAGAAGATTTATTATTATACATTATTACTTTATATTATCATAAACCTGAGAAAATACAGATTTTGACCAAAAACCAAGACTGATTTAGTTTTGTGATAAACCTAACCTAACTTAAGTTTTATCATAAACCTAAACAAATTCATGCTTTTGATCAAAAACAGGATTTTTTCAGGTAAATGCTAAGTTTAAGTAACATTTTGCCTTCTTCCCGTTCTTGTTCAAAAAACTGACTTTACTATAAATCTGCGACACATAGCTTTTTGCTACTTATTAGACACATAATTAATAGAATTAAGCGTTAGATTACGGAAATCCATTATTTTAAAGATGTGCAGATAGGTGTAGGACAGGGTGATGTTATATACCTGAAAATTTTCACCACTACATTGGAAGACGATTTCAAGCTACTGGACTGGAAATGATACCGTATTAACATCAATGGCGAGCACATCACTCACCTTCGATTTGCTGACGATATATTCCTCATGACAGAATCGCTGGACGACCTAAGAACTATGCTCAATGACGTCAATAGTGTCTCCCAACGGATAGGTCGTAAGATGAACATGGACAAAACAAAGATCATGTGTATCGTCCATGTCACACCTATGCCGGTAGTTAACTATAGTTTGTTTACCTGGGACAAATAGTCCGACTAGGTAAGTCCAACTTCAATCGAGAGGCCAATCGACGGATTCAACGTTCGGCGAACGAAGCGTTCGGGAAATTACAACAGATCTTCTCATCAAGTATACCTACTATATACTGTATACTTACTAATGAGATTGTACAATCAGTGCGTGTTGCCAGTTGATGACTTATAGAGCTGAGACGTGGCTCTTTACTGCTGGCCGTATGAGGAGGCTCAAGGTCGCTCAGTAAGCTATGAAGAGGGCTACGCTTGAGGTTACTCTGTGTGATAAACAAGTTAGAAATGGATATTTCCGGTAGAACCAGTGTGACCGACATAGCCGAACGGATTAGTAAGCCCCTAAAGTGGCAATGGGCCGGCCGTATATCTCGAAGAACCGACATCCGTTGGGGAAAAAAGGTTCTCGAGTGGCAACCTCGTACCGGTAGGCGAAGTGTGGGGTGACCCCCCACTAGATTGAGTGATGACCTAGTAAGACATTCAGGACGTCGATGGATGCAGGTAGCTCAGGACCGTGCTTTGTGCCATTCCTTGGGGGAAGCCTATATTCAGCAGTGGTTTTGTGAAGGGCTGTAATGATCATGATGATGAAAGATGTCAAGCATTAATTAGCTAAGATCCCCATAATAAAAGTTCCTAGTGTAGTGGTGTTGAGAGTAGTGTCCTGTGATTGGTGATGATGGCTGTAGTGCACGCAATCGAGGGAGGGTGGGAGGTTATCTTTAAAGTAAGTAAGACACGTAATTGTATGTTATTACGCGGATCAAGGCTAATAAATTTTTAACATCTTTAATTAGACGTATTGCATATTAGACGTTTCACATAGTTAGTCGTTTTGCCAACTTACACATTCTGATCAGGAGTGGATTTAAATAAGTAATTGAATTCACATTCCGAAAAGTAAACCACATTGGTAATTGTAATAAATATAACGCAGCAGTGTCGGTTTATTTATTGTCACATTATAATTTCAGGATAAAGACTTCAATTCACAAATTATCTACGTACTACGTAAACAAAGATGCATTCAATATTGTAAATAAACAAGACAGTAACTGACTGTAATGCAACCCATAATGCTTTTTATTTATCTTATGAGTTACACAAACAGTGTCATTATAGCCATTCACTGTGTGTTAATTTCGTGTGAAATAATCGGTTACAATAATATGAATAAGTTTACATGTTTATATCTCTATTATTGTGTGTTTTTATGATAGTGTCTTTATTTAATAATTTTATAGCCATCATGAGTCAATCTAATGTCCCACCTAGTAGTAAGGGGTGACGTAGCTAAATATAATAAAACAAATTGTATAAAACCATAGTATATGAAAAGCTCAATACTCTTAAACCACTTAGAAATATAGATCCCTCATTCAGATACACTCTTACGAGACTGTTACGACTGTTCTTATCAGCAAATTAACAACAGTTAAGGTGCGTGTTTGAGGAAAATGCCGCGCTAGTCTTTTTTTTTTGTGAGATTTTTAGGAGCTATTTACTACAAAAGTCAACAACAACAAAACAACAATAAAAGTCTTCTATGTGTGACCATAAGAAAAGATTTAGTAAGGTACTTTTCTTTTTAATTAGAAAATAGACTAAGCATAGCATAAAGGTAGTAAAAAGTAAAATTACAGCCGTTCCGTTGCTGGGCAAAGGCCTCCTCTCGATTCTGAGAGATTGAGGATAGATGTCGTAGTCTATGGGCCACATATGTTCACTTATCACGGTGGACTGTGTGCTAGTTTGTCGGCCTTATTCTACAACAATACAACATAGATAATTTTACATATACAACATGGCATCTGCAAATTCGTCGTGCGAAACCACTAGATAAATTTAAAACTGACGTCAAAAATCTCTAGATAGTACTGCAATAATCACTGGTCATTTGCGTCATTTTGATTTTTGTATCTATTATGTATATACGGTTACAGTTACAGCCTATCAAAGTCCAGTGCTGAACATAGGCCTCCCCCATAGATTGCCTCATAGGCGGGATATTAGCAGCAGTTACCGCGCTTGGAAACACAAGAAAATTTTTAGGGCAAAAAAATATCCGCTGAGCTCTCCTAATGCGTGTAGGCGGATTTTACATGTCTTCAAAATATTTTTTTAATTTCTCAGTCATGCAGGTTTCCTCGTGTACCTTCCTCGATATCCTTCACCGTCGAGTAAGTGGCAAATCAGCACTTAAAATTGCAATTCACCATTTTTTTGGTGTTAGCGGAGATCGCACCCGGGTTGTTTGCGTACCGTGAATACCACGCTTACCGGTGGAAGCGTAGCATAGGAAACAACGTTAGATAGGAAGACAGATTATTAATATGTATTAATATATATCTGTGCTCAGTAAGATTTCCGATAATTTGAAACGCTTATAGATTTTTTAGGTAGTTAGCAAATAAAGTTAATTGTATCGTTATTCGCTTCTTGTTTTTTTTTTTATATTATCAGATCTTCTGCTATTTGTGTTCAAATTTTTACAGTAAAATTTACATAGTATGTAGGTACTATCTTAATATTGTAAATCCTAGTGGATGATTTCAATAACGTTATAATCAATTGTCAATTTTCTTTGATCTAGAGATTGATCGCTGTCGTTATCTGATGTTTTATCGTTCCACAACTTCAATTTGATTAAAGTCAAGTAGTAACGATTATAAAATCCAAATTTTTTTGGAGTAAAATCGTAAAATTCTTATAGTAATATTTTACAATCAATTTTTTTTTCTGATATTATATTTTGTGATACACACATATAAGACCAAAGTATATAGTGCGTCAATCACGAATTAGGTGATTTTTGTTTTACTTCATATCTCTTTATTGGTTTTCGTTAATTATAAATCGTAAAATTCTTGTAGTAATATTTTAAAATCGAATTTTCATATTTATTTTTATACACTATAAGAGCAAAGTATAGTTGTCAGAATAGGTGATTTACTTCATTTTTGTTTTAATGTAATGTGTAGTAATATTTTAAAATCGAATTTTTTTTCTGATATTATATTTTGTGATACACACATATAAGAGAGAAGTATATATTCTGCGTCAATCACGAATTAGGTGATTTTTTTTTTTTTTTTTTTCTTTTTTGCTTTAATTCATATTAATAATGTTATGTTACTCAGACTCTTGTCTGAAATAAAGATTATTATTATTATTGTGGGGTATCTTTTTTTCTTTGGGGGTGTTTTTTTCTTTTTTTTTTTTTTTTTATTTTTATTGGTTTTCGTTAATTATAAATTCTACCATCAACTATGATGTTTAACATTTACCGGGCGACCTGTGTCGGCCAACTTTTTTTCTATATATTTTTTTGTTTTAAAACCATGTAATATTACTGACTGTTAAAATATAATTATTCATATTAATCCCGTGTTTTGGATACAAATTCGTATCTTCAAAAAACGTTCCATATAATTTCAGGTTAGTGAATGCTGCGATCCAGAAATCCGCGGCAGGTTGGGCTCTCTACCGACACTATCCATGTCTCTAGGCATTCTAATCTCATACATTGCAGGCAATTGGCTCTACTGGAGACATCTTGCTTTCCTCTCAGCTACATTTTGCGGTAATATTTATCATTTGTCACAGATTTGCGTCTAAAATATATTATGAATAGTATTTTTTATTATCTTTTTAAAAGTTATTACATACTAGGATTTTCTCCTGTATCGTAAAGGCATTTTGAGTACATAAATTTTTCAAGAACAAGCATGGATCCGGAACAATTATTTGTGAGGCATACAAACACTGTTCCGTGCGCGATTCGAACTCGCAGTCCTCAGTACCCCAATCTAATAATTAGGCTCTGCTCCACTGACCCGTCACTTCTTTATAGTGCACTAATTTATCTAAGCATATAATACATTTAAGAGTTTGTGAAAGTGATAAGAAAAATTATTTTATAATATGTAATTATTATTTTTTAATATGTAATTGTTAATAATCATCGTCACTTTTAATATTTTACGTATAAACTAATAATGGATATAAGCTGCTCAAATTACCTTATATAAGAAAATTTATATTCCGTTTAAGTAATATTTATTTAAAAAAATCATTTTAAAGTAGAAGTCTTGTTATTTTAAACCAACTCCAAGAGAGGTATTTCTCAAATCTACTGTTTACTGTTTTTCTACTGACTTCAACTGATGCTTTTTTATGTGTGTTACCTCAGAACTTTTTCTTGGTGTACTTTTTTTATCTGCAACCTGCTGCTTCTCGTGTGGTTCAATATAAATTTGATCAAGATCTGACAAGTAGTTTTTGAGTTATCCTAAAATAATGCGTATTGAATTGAATTCGAATACATTGATAATTTTTTTATATTTAAGTCGGTTGTATTTTTTTTAATTTTACCACTTGTCTTTCACGAAGAAGAGTTAAATAAAATAAGAGGTTGTGGAAAGCAAAGATTTAAAAGTCTTTGGTGAGAAGCAGCACCTTCCCAATTAAAACTAAATCAATAAAAAACTTACTTACTTACTTAAATTACGGTTGTCTAAGCGCCTGCCGAGCGTGGTAGCTGTGGTAAATTTCCCCTCCATGAGGAAATGGACGGGCTGTGTTCAGCAGTGGAATTTTTATAGGCTCTAATGAATGAATAAATGAAAATGACTTGTTACTACAACGCAGTTTCTTTAGTCTGTTAGTGGCCGTGACCGTGTGGTGGCTGTATAAGAATATCCATTACTCAGTATCGTCATGTAAGTGTCATAAGAGACGACAATTGGAAATCAAAACAGGCTATCGGCACCAGCATCCTACTAATTAGCACTCAAAATAATAAAAACGGTCGCCAACCCGCCTGCGTAGCTACCAAATATTTTAAACACAAATTGAATTCAGTTGCGTTGCGATTAACATTTTTAACTTTCCGCTAAGTAAATTAAAATTTTTCAAAGAAACAAAAATTTTTTATCACGTTTTTTTTTGTTGTATTTTGATAAACTGTTCTTTTGGAATAACTTTTAAACAGCTTTTCCGATTGATTTCAAAAACTAATCAGCTTTTAACCTTGAAAAACTACGTCGCTCGCCGCCAGTCTGGTCAGAATCGGTTGATTTGTTCGTGAGATATGGTTAACGAAAATTTTGAAAAAAAAGTTTTTTTTTTTAAATTACTCAGATATTTCATATTCATCGTCATTATTAGGCGTTTGGAGCGCTTTGCATTTGAAATTAGCGGGAAGTTCCAAGAGTGGCCAGGGTCAACCAATATTTTTTTATCTAATTTGATTATAAAGTATTTTTAAAATATGTATAAAAATCCATGTCAGATTCAATTTTCTTAGCTGCATTATTTCTCATCCTTTTACCATTGCCGGAGTCTCCGGTATGGTTAAAGTCCCGTGGTCTTGATGCCGAACCAGCTGTCAAGTGGTTGCAGCTCTCCAGTCGTGCAGTTGCCACTGTAAAGGATGAAGAGGTGCACCAAGAGTGAGTAATTTATTATTTATTTTTGTTTATTTATTGTGCGAGTATCTTAGTGCTGCGTGCTATCTAGGAATAGTGATGAGTAAAAGTATTTTAACGGTTTCCCTGGCCGCGAAACAGACACAATAGTTAAACAAATGAAGTGTTCATATGTTATTCATGGGAAGATGGATGGATGGAAGGGGTTAAAAGCAGCCATTTTATCATTGCAACTATTGCCATGCCGTGCCTTCAGACCGTATAAGTGAAAATATATAAATATTCTGTGTATATTTCCGTATATATGATAAACGGAGCGCTGCATATATTTTAAATGATACCGGAATCATGCTTAACTTTTTGACATGCGTGATTTCACATCTTTCCTATTTCTTTTTTATCCGCCCGTAAATGTCATTGTGGTCGTACACATATATATGCACATAAAACCATACTGCTTGTTGCAAATGATTTGAGATTTATATTTTTACTGTTCTTGCAATAAGTTGTGCCTGGTTTATTTGGTGGTCTGAGGCAATGCCATTAATGTAACTATATGTAATTTTATTTTTCAGGAAAGTTTCTGATTTAGAACCAAAAAGTTTCTACACGCGTGAAGTTTTCTTTTCATCAGCAGTGATGAAACCACTCATTGTTGGTTTCGCACTCCTCATTTTCCAGCAGTTCACTGGTATCGACGCCGTCATATTTTTTACTGTGGAAATATTCCAAAGTGCAGGTGACAATTTTTTTGTTTGGACAAATATTTGAAATATAGAGTAACTATGCTAAATATTTGTATGTAGTCGGCTTAGACTATTTTGATCTTAGGGCACGGCAGTGCCCCTGCCAAGTCGAGCAAAAAAGCGGCACGGCCGTACCATACTTTTCTCGAAGCAATTCAGGCCATTTTCGACCCCCTATAACTTCGTTGTGGATAGAATTAGAAACTTGAATTTTAAACTGAAACTAAATAGGCATTGTATAGACACGGCATATTTCAAATTTCATTCAATTTGAACCTGTAGTTTAGGAATTATTATTAGTCAAAGTTACTTAATTTTGTCACTCACTGACTGACCGATCATCAAAACTCTAAGGCACTTCTAGCATACATAGAAGCTTCAAACTTAGAACACAACTAGTGTTTAGTGTATAAATTAAGGAAAAACTAAAATATTTTTCAATTTCCGTTCAGTTTTCTAGAAACACTAACTGCATAAATAACTTTGTAATCCCATATAAATATATAGGATTACAAAGTTATATTTGCGGTGAATGAATCAGTGTGCCTGTATATGTATAATAGAATGGAATAAAAGGTGTAGGTAGTACTTTGTTGATAATCAAGAAGTAGAAAGTACCGGAAGGAAAAAAGTAGGACTATCTGCAAAAATAATCCATCAAAAACATAACTTGTAAAAAAAAAACAAGTCTTGCAACTCAGTTCTTCTGTCGTAAAAAGTTGTGAGATCCATGTAAAGTAAAAGTAAAGTAAAGTTACAGCCTATATACGTCCACTGCTGGGCTCAGGCCTCATTTTCGAGAGGGTTTAGGGGGTGAAATTTTTTTCGTTTCCGAGAGATGTCAGCACTTAAAATTTGTTCCAAGTTATTACGTAATTAGCTTATATAACAACATCTTATTGTGACCATATCAATAAAACTTAAGGGAGAAGGACCCTTAAGTAGGGACTGAATAAATTAACCGACTGGGTATTACATGGATCTCACAACTTTTTACGACAGAAGAACTGAGTTGCGAGACTTGGTTTAGTTATGTTTTGCATTCTGTTGATGGCATTTGCATTTCTGTTTTTCTATATGTCAAAAGTACTTTGATAAATTAGGATTTTAAATATGTACATATATACGAGTACATACGTTTTAATATTGACGACTACCAATCTTTAAAAACTTAACTGTTCTATATAATATATGGTAATATTTAATAGTATTGCTAGTATTTTCGTTGAAGCAATATTACAAATATTAAGGTTACTTTTGTTTATGTGTATTTATTACTATATTTTTTATATGTTTTTACTTCATTAATTAAAAATAATGGAAAGTCTACTGCTGAAAGTAGGTTACCTTTTATTTGTTATGGGTGTCAAGGTTTTTATAATGGAGGCGGGATGGCAACCGCACTTTTCTTACTATATATGTAACACTATTATCAGTACATATTATTTATTGCTCAATGTCTTTGTTTCTTTGATTTTTCGACATATTATCATTCATCAAGATAAAAGTTTATAATATACTTAAAATAAAAACTTAAATTGAATATGTCTGTATATTGTATAGTTTTGTGATAAAAATGATTGATTTTCTGTTTTTGTTAAAGAATCTTCAAGAAATTCATGATTCAGCGCATTTTAAATTAACATTAAATCTTTTTTTTTTAATTGGATTCATTCTAACAAAAGTTATGATTATTGTTTTAACGTGTAGGTACGAATTAGTTCAATAGTGAAGTAAGAGAAATCGTAATAAAATTATGTAAAGGAATTTTCTATAATGATATACCCAAAATACAGTAAAAAAAAAAAGAAAAGGAATATGTTTTCTCACAAAGGTTATTGTAATACCCTCTTAGTTAAAGACGTACAATGGATGGTTAACCAATGTCATCGAAAGATGACGTTGTGAAAATGTGATACAAAAGGGCGGGTTGTGTTTTCCTTCCTGTATATGTGGTCACTTGGAAGAGAAGGCCAAATTGACCTCTAAAAAGCTTGGCGCGCTCAGCAGAGCGGGACAGTATTTCATGCCGGCACACCGCCTGCAACTTTACAAGGCGCAGGTTCGGCCGCACATGGAATACTGTTCCCATCTCTTGCCTGGGGCTCCCCAGTACCAGCTCCTTCCATTTGACCGCATCCAGCGCAGAGCGGCTCGAATCGTCGACGACCGAGTGTTTTCCGATCGGCTCGATTCACTGGCACTGCGAAGAGATGTTGCATCTCTTTGCATTTTCTTTCGCATATACCATGGAGAGTGCTCTGAGGAATTGTTCGGATTAATCCCAGCCGCCAAATTTCGTGAACGCACTACGCGGCAAACGTCGCGATACCATCCACATCATCTGGATGCTTGGCGGTCTACCACTGTACGTTTCAAGAGGAGTTTTCTTCCGCGTACAACCTCTCTGTGGAATAGTTTACCACCGGCGATTTTCCGGACCGATACGACCTGGGGACCTTCAAGAAAAGAGCGTACTCCTTTCTAAAGGGCCGGCAACGCACCTGCAATTCCCCTGGTGTTGCGGTTGATCATGGGCGGCGGTAGTCACTTAACATCAGGTGAGCCGCATGCTCGTTTGCCCCCTCTTCTATAAAAAGAAAAAAAAATATGTGTCTTAATAATTGCTGTGATCTTTATTTTACACTTAGGTGCAATAATGGGTGTAAACTTCATACTTTCTTAAAATATATTGACCGTGAAAACGTTGTGATGTAGAGCTGGGATATCAATCAAATCAAAGATTTATGTAGTACTTTTTAAATAGCACCCACCTATTTAAAAAAGAAACAACTTAATAATATTTTAAATAAAAAAAATATTTTAAGGGCAAAGAGTGAGATGTTTTACTTTAATTAAAAAGTAACCTAATTGAATTTATGCATCCCACAGCTGAACACATCATGAGCATCTTCGTTTTCGAAGAAGAAATTCGAATTTTAAAAAAGTACTAACACTTTCGTTGGTATCGGCGGGGATTTAACAAATGTTTTTCGCGTACTTTACGGGAACTTATTTTCTGAGCCCACTTTTCGGGCACTCTTTCCGCTATCTATATATTTATATAGAATTGTTATTTTTTGTATTTTTTGTATTGGTATATTTTTATGCGTTGGGTGACAAACGAGTACACAGTCCATCTGATGGTAAATGGATGCTGTGGCCCATAGACATCCACATTTATCCTCAATTAAGAATCGAAATTTAAATGCGTTGTTACTCCTGAGCACTAAGATGGAATGCCTTGATTCAAGTAAAAAGGGTCTCCGGTTTTCCACACTTACCATACAAAACACTATTATGTCCAAAGTAATAAAACTTAAAATAAAATTACTGACAAAGATTCTATGCGAACGTAGTTACGGGCACGGTTAGTATATCATACTTATAATATTTCGCAACAAAATCATAACATAAAGTTACTTATGACAACGTCAAATATAAACTTAATCAGGGTTTTCATTAAGGCCTGTTTGAAATAAATAACCTGAGCTGTAAATATCACAGTACGTGGGCAACCCGGATTCGATACCAACGAAATTGTTTTAAGTGCTGATTTGACATGTGAAATCTCCAGATATGCAATCGGGCAGTGCGGTGGACACTAACTACTGTGTTCTAAAACTTTCAGAAATGAAATTAAAAAATGTGTAACATGTGTGATACAGTTACTTCTGTCCATTGCGTAGGCTGTAACTTAAGCAAAAGTTACATTCTTTTTAGGAAGCAAGTTAGATGCTATGACAGCTACGATAATAATTGGCCTGGTACAGCTTTTAAGCAACGGAGTGAGCACCATGCTGGTCGACAGAGCAGGACGGCGACCGTTGCTGCTGCTGTCAGCGGTTATAATGTGCTTCTCGATGGGAGCAATGGGGGCCGCTTTCTATTTGAAATTCGGATCAGAATCATGGCTTGGGTATGATTAAAAATTATATAATAAATAAAGAATGTATTTTTTAATATCTATCTATACTGAAATACTCAAACGCTGCCCAATTTTAAGATGACGTTAAGTCTCGTGGTGTCACAGTCACTTTGACTTAAGCGATAGAGACAGCACGAGACTGTGAAGTGCCGATACGCGGCGCGAGTTCGCGTAGTGTATAATATATTCTTTGGCGCGAGTAGGTATTTTCAAAAATGCTATCTGTTACACATCGCTCGCTCCATATCGCAATCGTGGGGAAGTTGCAAATGTTGGAAGTAATTGCCTTAGAAACGGATAAATAAACCTCAAATAAATGCCCGTATGCTTATAATCCGTATGACGCATAACTTTTTTAAAAATACTAGGAATTCTATTGATTAACTTTACTAATACTCCCTATACCACTCGTAGGCTTAAAATGATTGTGTTTAAAGCAGTTTATCGCAGTAGTCTAAAGACGGATTCAAACCTACGACCTATGATTTCGCGGTCCGCACCCTAACATTATGCTACTGTCGCTTAAAACTATTTTTATAAAGAGACCTTTGGTAACTTACGTAAACAGTGTCTTTATAATTATTTTTTTAAAAATTTATTTTGTCCTTTAAAATGGGGCATAAGGGAAAGCGATAGAATAAGATAAATAACTGAAATTTCTTAAATTTATTTGTAATTTTTTCTTTAATTTTATATTTCTTTTCTTAATTTTGTATTATGTCTTTGTTGTTACAGATATTTACCCATAATCAGTCTGGTAGTGTTCATGCTCGGGTTCTCCCTTGGTTTTGGCGGCTTACCGTTTCTTCTCCTCGGTGAACTATTTCCCTCACATTACCGCTCTCAGCTCTCGGCCATGGCGAGTGCAGTGAATCTTATCTCTATGTTCGCTGTTATCAAGTCGTTCCATGCCTTAGAGGTAAGTGTAATATAGCGTTATAAAGATTTTTAAAGTATCCCGGGGATGACGCGGCACAAGAAAACAGGACAATTGAAGAGGTATATTAGATTATTCCTTGATAACCATTAATAATAATAAAAAATGCTGCTGCCCACTCGCATGCCGAGCGTGCAACTATGGAAAAAATTCTCTATATGAGACAATATTTTGTGGGCGGCCTTTGTTTACCCGTGGACGTGGTCTTGTGGTGGGCTATAACAAAATAATGATGATGATGTTATCCCCCTTAGATAGTCCTCTGCTGGATATTAAACTTTCTGTAAGTAATGAGAATTTATCTTAATTATGTCGCTCGGTAGGCGGTCTCTTACCAGTGGACCTCTCGAGCGTCGGCCTCGGTGGTCTCGTACCAATTTTTTGTTAAGAAACCACTTCCTCTTACTCAGTAAAGCGATTGTGTGACAGCAACATGTCGTTGAACCATAGATTATATATATATATACTCGTATCTATATATTAGAGAACTTGAACTAAAAACTGAGGTATTGTGGCATCAAATCATCAAATCATCTTAAAGTAATTATAATATACATACATATGCATAGAGCGAACCTAAAATTCTACATAAATTGAGTCAATATACTTGTCTCGCTTTTTCTAATTTAATTTTCAAATAAGGCAAAAAGAGACAAATCTATTGAAAGATGTTGCGTGTAATTTATGTGTGGAAATGGAAATCTCAGGTGGTCATCTCTGGTTTCTTTATACTATGCCAAATGTGATGAGAGTAAGGCGAACGCTACACGCGTGATATTTATCACGATCTGGGACGCGATCTGGAAATACACGTTCATTACGGATCACGTCAGTATTGGACACAAAACTGTTAATTGCAGACATATCTAAAATAGACCGAAATGTAGAAAAAGTTTTTTTTTATAGGATAGGGTGACAAACAAGCACACAGTCCACCTGATGGTAAGTGGTTGCTTAGGCCTATAGACATCTACATCCATCCTCGATTACGAATCGAATGCAGATGCGTTGTCACTCGTGAGGACTAAGATAGAATGCCTCGTTTCCAGTAAAAAGGGTCTCCGGTTCTCTACACTCACCATACGAAACACAGCAGCATTAAGCTACTATTTAACGCTGGTATTCTGTGAGAGCGTGGTCCTTCCTTAAGCACTATGCTCAATGACCTCAATAGTGCCTCCCAACGGATAGGTCTTAAGATGAACATGGACAAAACAAAGATCATGTTTAATGTCCATGTCACACCTATGCCGGTAGTTGTTGGGAGCACTATGCTCGAAGTTGTTGACGAGTATGTTTACCTGGGACAAATAGTCCGACTAGGTAAGTCCAACTTCGACCGAGAGGTCAATCGACGGATTCAACTCGCCTGGGCAGCGTTCGGGAAATTACGACATATCATTTCGTCAGGTATACCTCAATCTCTAAAAACTAAATTGTACAACCAGTGCGTGTTGCCAGTAATGACTTACGGATCTGAGACGTGGTCCTTCACTGCTGGCCATATGAGGACGCTCAAGGTCGCTCAGCGAGCTATGGAGAGGGCTATGCTCGGAGTTTCTCTGCGTGATAGACTCAGAAATGAGGATATCCGCAGTAAAACCAGAGTGACCGACATAGCCCAATGGATTAGTAAGCTGAAGTGGCAATGGGCCGGCCATATAGCTCGAAGAACCGATAACCGATGGGGAAGAAAGGTTCTCGAGTGGCAGCCTCGTACCGGTAGGCGTAGTGTAGGGCGACCCCCACTAGATGGAGTGACGACCTGGTAAGATATGCAGGAAGTCGATGGATGCAGGTGGCTCAGGACCGTGCTTTGTGGCATTACTTGGGGGAGGCCTATGGCTGTAATGATGATGATGATGATGATGTGGTCCTTCCCCGGTCGAGCCGACCGATTCGTGCTACAACTATACTACTAATATAACTGCAGTATGGCTCTACCACATATACGCTTGCTTAAAGCTTGTGTGGCTATCATTATGGCAATACTATTAAATAGGAGGGTGTCGATTTTAACGATTTTTTTCTAACATATTGAAGCGTAATTTTTTACTTTTTTCGAGTATAAATTGGTAGTAACTTCTGAAGTGCCTACATGTGCTTCCAATTGTTTTTAAAATCATCATACGATGTGTAGCATTATAAGGGCGTTGTAGCCAAACATAATATAAACACCTGTAAATGTTTTTGATGGATTGTAGATGGTCCCGTCGAAACAGGATTCTCGCTTTCGTTGCGATTTCGCCCGCATCGCTACAAAAGTCGTCCTCTTCCATCGCTTTTCCAGAGCAGACTGACGCGAACTGTAATCCGTATCGCAGCAACACTACACCCCTACACGCGCAATATTTATCACGATCCTATGGATCGCGATATGGATTTTCGGAAATCTAGAAATTCTGTGATCCGTATCGCGATCCATCAAGACTTGATAATACACATTCAATAAATATCACGATCCTGGATCGCGATCCAAGGATCGTGATAAATATCACGCGTGTAGCATTCGCCTAAGTACACTCGTATGTTAATTTAGATTTTTTAGAAAAATGACATCCCTGTTGTATTATGTGTGACGTTACTTTACAAGACATGACGTCTTTAATCTATAGTGATTTTGTTTGCGATGGTAGCAACAATCGACATTGATATACTCGTTTTTGTTTAATTATTTACTTTTATTATTTAATATGCTTAAGTATTTAAAAAATAGGACTAGACTTATTATTAATCGAATGATCAAGCAAATTATTTTTTAAATCATTTGATGATAATTATTATATTACATTTCGTATATTCATTTCGCAAACTTTAAAAACTTATAATTAGAGAGGTACCAATACTCAGTTTTGACAGACAAATGGTACATGAGCGAGTTTCATATGCTGATTAACGTTCCGCCCTGTAAAACTGCCGCCTTAAAAATCCGTCCAGCCTTTCTTAAGTGATGATCCTTCATACATGCGGCAATTTAGTTCTATTTGTATACATTTACTACTTGTTTAGCGGAAAATAAAACCATCGACTATATTCAACAAAGCTTTATCTGTTTGGATAAAAATATTTCCAAATCATGAAGTTAAGGCAGGATCTTGATAATACTGTGTAGCGGCGGCGAAAAATTATTGCCTTCTACCAAACTAAAAACTATGTATATATATATATATATATATATATATATATATATATATATATATTATTTGGTAGAAGAATAGAAGAATTATTACTTCTAAGTAATAATACTCAGGGGATGGTATGGGCTCTTGCCCATATCATTACCTTTAGCTATAAGAATTTTGTTCTTATTTTAGGACTCTCTCTATGCTAGTAATTACTCTGAGGACGTCATGCCGTGACTTCAGGTGACGTTAAAAAAAACAGTCGAAAAGATTCTCTTCATTTTTTCAGTCAGTATAAAATTGAGATTCCGCTTATTATTACTAGACAGACAGTAACCACCAAACATGAATAGGAGTATTAATGATCACAAAAACATTGACCCAAATAGTGATATTGAAAATAAAAAAGAGAAAATATATCTTATCAATATTACATAATATTTTAAGAGTATCGACAATTAATTCGATATAAAAGAAAGAGTATCGATGCTCAATATAAACGCATGGTCTTTTCTAATCTTTCTTTTTTATATATCGCTGCATTTTAAGTATACAAACGAATACTGGAGATGACTAGTTTGTTTTGTAAATTCTTATGTGTTCTATCAAGCTCGGCAAATCAACTTGAGTGCTCAGAGAATAATTTTATATAGTTTTTCTCTATACTCGTATATCAACAGGTAACAATATAATTTTTCCAAAAACAAATTTTTATTAGTCAGGTGTTAGATTTATTTTTTTTTTATTTTTTTTTTTTTTTGTTTATAATTATTTTTTTTCTTTTTTTTTTGTTTTTAGCTTTGCATAAAAAGTTTACAATATGTTTGCAATACTTGATATCAATTTTGGTATATCGCCAAAAATGTCATTCATTGAATAAAAGTTATCAGTTTATTGAGAAAATATATAATATGAAATGATATTTTTTTTTGTAATTTCTTGCTTCACGTTACGGTAGCTTTTTTGCCTTAATGTAATTAAGTATTATTATAATTGTATGCTTAAAACGGTAACATCAAATGTCGCTTTTATTTTTATTTTTAGGCTGTGCTGACATCAGCCGGTACGTTTTGGATGTATACCTGTTTTTGCGCTCTGGCGTTCTTTTTTGTCCTCTTCATGGTCCCCGAGACGAAAGGAAAGTCGCTGGCAGAAATAGAAGAACACTTCCGTGGCAAAAAGAAACAGAAGGAAGTAGTTGATTTGCAAAAGATATCGTAGTATTAGCAGATTTCTTCTCTTGTAGACAATAGTGTCTTTCGGGCACCTTAGCTAATCATTTCTTTTGTTTTATGAAACGAACTCATTAGCATTGTAGATGGTTTCAGCGTTCGACAATTGTAGTCAAAAGCAAATGTTTTTCTACTCACACATAAGAAATATTTTCTTTCTTATAATATGTTTGAAGTTTTGTAACTACTATATAATCCGTATAAAGCAATACGTACATAATTATATTATTTTGTAATGTAAAATTATTTAGAATTGCATTTTTAGGATTAAACACAGAATATAAATAAAACGAAAAACTTTGATTGTGTTACTACTGTGTGGATATTTTTATTAAGTAGATCTATATCCTTTACTACATAAATATAATAAAGCTGTGATAAAAAATACATATTTTTATTGTTAATAGTATTGTTAATTTTAGGTTACTTACATATTTAAAACGATGTATTATTTAATATATAAAATTATATAACAAATGGTGTTTTAATATTCATGTTTTCATTTAATCGTATACGTGGTAGGGCCGCGCTGGAGCTGATCTATGGCTCGGCTGAATATGAAACACGGTTACACAGAACACATGCGTGGAATGGCAATATAATGCTGCTGTATTTTGTATGGTGAGTGTGGAGAACAGGAGACCCTCTTTACTGATAACTAAGCATATCTGCATTTGCATTCTTAAACACAGAGAATGGAATGGCTAAGCCGCCGCCGCACCGAGGCATCGTGTCTATTGTATACTCCGTTATCTTATAAAAGGATAAGTGTAAGTGTATGTATATAAGCCGCAGCATTTTCTCACTCTTAGGTAGTTTTTTTTTTATAGAAGAGGGGGGCAAACGAGCATGTGGCTCACCTGATGTTAAGTGACTACCGCCGCCCATGATCAACTGCAACACCAGGGGAATTGCAGATGCGTTGCCGGCCCTTTAGAAAGGAGTAAGCTCTTTTCTTGAAGGTCCCCAGGTCGTATCGGTCCGGAAAAATCGCCGGTGGTAAATTATTCCACAGAGAGGTTGTACGCGGAAGAAAACTCCTTTTGAAACGTACAGTGGTGGACCGCCAAGCATCCAGATGGTGCGGATGGTATCGGGACGTTTGCCGCGTAGTGCGTTAACGAAATTTGGCGGCTGGGATTAATCCGAACAATTCCTCAGAGCACTCTCCATGGTATATGCGAAAGAAAATACAAAGGGATGCAACATCTCTTCGCAGTGCCAGAGAATCGAGCCGATCGGAAAGCACTCGGTCGTCGACGATTCGAGCCGCTCTGCGCTGGATGCTGTCAAGTAGAAGGAGCTCGTACTGGGGAGCCCCAGCCCAGAGATGGGAACAGTATTCCATGTGCGGCCGAACCTGCGCCTTGTAAAGTTGCAGGCGGTGTGCCGGCATGAAATACTGTCCCGCTCTGCTGAGCACGCCAAGCTTTTTAGAGGCCAATTTGGCCTTCCCTTCCAAGTGACCACGAGCTGCACGTCACTCGATATGTCGACGCCGAGGATTCCGATACTGGCTGAGGCAACAAGGGGAGTGCCTTGAAACTGAGGGGATACGACAAAGGGGTTCTTTTTAGCGGTTAACGCGCAAACTTGTGTCTTCTGGGGGTTAAACTGGACTAGATTTAGTCGCCCCCAATCCGAGACTCTGTCCAGCAGAGACTCGACTTCAGACACAAGTTTGTCCCGGCACTCAGAGATGTTTTCCCGAGAAATATTGGCTCGGCCGGTGTAAAGAGCATCACCAGTGCTGTCATCTGCATAGCAATGAATGTTACTGGCATGCAACATGTCATTGATATGCAGAAGAAACAGCGTTGGCGATAGCACGCAGCCCTGTGGAACACCAGCATTAATAGGCTTGCAATCGGAGCTTGCACCGTGTACAACGACCTTGATGCTCCGATCTGCAAGAAATCTGGTGATCCAATCGCACAATTTCTCGGGAAGCCCATAGGAAGGGAGCTTCGAAAGAAGCGCTTTGTGCCAAACCCGATCGAAGGCCTTCGCAATGTCCAAACTAACGGCCAATGCCTCCCCCTTGGACTCTACTGCCTCTGCCCATCTGTGAGTTAGGTAGACCAGGAGATCACCAGCTGACCTACCACGGCGAAAACCGTATTGGCGGTCACTAATCAGCTGGCGATCCTCAAGGTACCTCATGAGCTGGCAGTTTACAATGGACTCCATTGTTTTGGAGAACAAGGAGGTGATGGCGATAGGCCGGTAGTTGGACGGGTCTGAGCGGTCGCCTTTTTTAGGGATCGGGTGGACGAAAGCCGTCTTCCATGATTTTGGGACTACGCCTAGGGAGTAGGAGTACCGGAAAAGACGCGTTAAAACCGGTGCCAACTCTGGAGCACACGTCCTCAGAACAATTGGGGGGGATTCCGTCAGGCCCACTCGACTTGTGGATGTCCAGGGAAAGGAGTGGTTTGCGAACCGAGCGCTGAGTGAACTGCACTTCCGGCATGGAGCACTCACACCGCGGGATGGTCGGCGGCGTACTCCCCCGTCATCGAGAGTCGAGTTAGACGCAAAGAAAGAGCCTTGAAGATCGGCTTTCTCCTTTGCGGTGTGGGCCAGTGAGTCGCCCTCCCTGTGCAGAGATGGAAGAGATGGCTGACAGAAATTCCCCTGGACAGCTTTGGCGAGAGACCAGAATGCACGGGTTCCAGAAGGAAGCCGAACTAGTTTCTCGCCAATTCTACCTATGTGCTCTGACTTTGCCTTGGCAATGACTCTTTTGAAGGACCTAGAGGCGGAATTATACTTCTTTTTTAGAGCGCTAGTGTTTACATCCCTGGACGCTGATGCGTCAGCCCAGGCTTGGTAGCACTCCTGCTTATAGCATGATGCTATTTTACAGGAGCGACCAAACCATGGCCGAGATTTGCCTCCAATGGGCACCACAGAGGAAGGAATAAAACGTTCCATACCCTGAAGTACCACATCAGCGACAGAATCCGCAACAACGTTGGGATCGTCCGGCGAGAAGCAAACCCGCCCCCAAGGGTAGGATGCAAAGAAAGACCGCATCCCATCCCAATCGGCTGACCTATAGTGCCAAACACGGCGGCAGCCTGCAGAATGCAACCGCAATTTCAGCGTGAGTGGCACCACACTCCGGACAAGACAATGGTCCGAGGAGCCTAAAGGGGCGTCGACGGAAATCTGATATCCGTCCGGGTGAGAGGTCAGCAGAAGGTCCAACAGGGAAGGTGCATGATCCTCCACATCTGGAATCCGCGTGGGCGAAGTAACCAGTTGTGTCAGACCATATGCCAAGGCAAAGTCATGAACAGATCTCCCCGCATGATCGGTTAAACGTGAACCGAGCCATTCGGCGTGATGGGCGTTCAAGTCGCCGAGGATCACGATCTCTGCGGAGGGGATCTGCTGCAGCAACGAATCTGCAGCCATTTGGACGTGGTCGAAGAGTCGGTATGTTTCGGCATTACCGCTGTGGGACCTATAGAGGCACCCGTAGATGCGCGGATGGTCGTCGCTGTCTACGCGTAGCCAAAGGATGGACAGGTCCGAACCTTCAAGTCTGCCGAGGCGTCGAGAACAGATGTCCTCTCTGACGTAAACGCAAACTCCAGCCCGAGGCACAAAGGAGTGTTCCAGTTTGTACCCCGGGTAGGAGAGATACGAGACATCAGCCGGAGAGGACACCTGCGTCTCGGTCAGAAAGAGCAGAGCCGGCTTCGCCGTCTCGAGATGGTAGTGGACGGCGTTTAGGTTAGAGTGAAGTCCCCTGATATTGCAGAAATTCACGGACAGCGTGGCAGGGGTCGCCTTGGTCTTGTTGCTCCGTTTGCCCCGAGCAGTTTTAGTCTTGAGCGGAATTTTGCCCCCCCCCCCCCAGAATACGCGGGGCAGCCTGAGCACCCACGCTCAGAAGTGGAGAAACATGGTCGTGGATGCTCAGCGAGGGATTCTCCAGGGGTGCTGGTACCCTCCTGGGGTAGTCTATCATTGAATTCCGCTACCATGTTGATGGGGGGGGGGGATTTGGGTCACCGGCCACCTGCACTCACCAGACGAAACGCGGAAGCAGAGCTTCCACTTCACGTCGGTATTCTGTGAGGTCGTGGTACCACCCCGGTTTGAGCCGGCCCATACGTGCGACAGCAAAGCTGCCGCGTGGCTCTACCACTGTTAAAAGTTTTAGTTTGTGAGACCGATAGTCAACCTTACTTACTTTACTTACTTTACTTATATACACAAAACTCGTTTGTTTCGTAACGATTTTGTGAATGCCCGGCGCACTGGAGCCTCCTCCAAACTAACTGTATAGTTTAATAATGGGATTTATGTGCAACAACTACGCGTCGCTAGCACCTGTGTGTACGATTCAATTCCCGTTTCGTTACTCAAGTTTTTGCCTACTGCTTACTTTCTTAGTGACAAGAAATTTAACAACAAGTTAATAACTACACGACGTGAATTATGATTAAGTGGTAATAACTAATACTGGAACTTTGAAATGGAATCCGTTTCTCTTTATACATAGACGAGCACCATTTCTTAAATTATTTATACACTTATTACCTGTTCTTGAGCACAGTTTTACTGTGGTGGTCTTTATAATTTTGGACTTTTTTGACACGACACTATTATTACTATTTCATTTCACAGATAAAAGTATAACGGTGAAAGTTCCGTCTAGTTCGCAGACCATAGTATAGGGCACCATGCGCCATTCACCTATCTTTATATTAACTATTTAAATTATTGTTCAATGCACTTGAATTGTTTGATTAGCTGTCAACTGTTCTTTGATTGATTGGTACAGGTACGTTCATTTATTGCACCGTAAAGGCTCTTATTTGGTATAATAATAATAATATACTTAATGTATAAATGTTCATGGGTGGCGATAGACATTTAACATCAGGTGAACCGTATGCTCGTAAACTTTCATTGCCCAAAATGTAATACCACACCTTTTCATAGTTTCGTAGTATTCGCGGTTTGAATATT